CAATCAATACTCTTTTGAGAAAAACTGCCAATTTGTATTTATATTGATTCCTTTAATCACATGTTCCACCGAAAGTGATGAATAGTAAAAGTTACTGTTCACTTTTACTATTCACTCAATCAACTTTTGTTAAAGCTGCTCAACTGTTCAACCAATTAGCCGAAAGCAACCGACAACTCTGCTCAGTCTCCAATGCTGCCAGCTGCCTTCGATCAATCAACCAAATCACATGTTGCATAGTTAATTTTCTTTTTTATATATTGTAATCGAATGCATTCATTCAGATATTCTTCATTTCTTAAAAAATCTAAGAGCTCTGAGTGAAAATCAACCCTTCTGTCTGTAACGTAATTAAGATTCTTGCAACTGCAACGATTGTAATTGTAAATTACTTTCTGTATTTTAATTACAAAGTTTTATATGAAATGATTTTGGTTAATTAGTGCATTCCAATTCTGTTGAATCAATTTGTGTGTCATTTTGATTTTGTAATCCATTTTCTTCATTCTGCATTCTGCTTGCTGCTTCCACGTTTATGATTTCGTAATCCATTTTCTTCATTTTGCATTCTGCTTGCTGCTTCCACATTTATGGTATCAGAGCCAAGTTATGTTGCTTTCTGTTTCTAACTGCTTTGCTACTTCTGATCAATCAATTCCATTGTTTATTTGATTAATCTGGTTTCAGTCATCTTAATCTGTCTTAAATTCTATCTGTGTCTTTCCACCTAGCTAAGTCACCCACTTTTGTCCCTGTCCTGAGTAAGTCCTTAGGGTTAGGCAGTGTTGGACTTAGGGGTCTTCCGAATAGGGTATGTATGGATGCAGGTATGTGAAAACATGATAAATTTAGACAATGCATTAAGATTCATGTAAAACAGTTTAATTAAACAGAACAATGAATCGATTATTTAGAAATAACTCATTAGTCAGTTCTAGGTCAATTACTTTGCCCTCAATACCTAATCAAGGATTAGTAATTAATGAAGAAGATGTTGAAATACAGAATGATAAAATTGATTCAGGATCGAATATACCGAAATTACCAATCAAAGAAATTTATAAAACTACTTTTATACAGAATACTTTCAAAGTTGCTTTGCATGTTAAAACAATTGAACAAGTTTATGCTTTAGAGAAACCCAGGGAAACCTGTCATTTATTTGATACTAACTTAATCAAAAGACATTTTAAAAATGGTTATAATTTTATTCATATTGGTTTAATTCAAGTTGGTGTTAATCCATTAACTATGGTAGGAAAAAATACCTCTGTTTTATTATGTTTACGAGATGCTCGTTTTCTTAATTATAATGATAGTTTAATGGGAATGATGGAAACTGGACTTCATAAAGGATCAGTACATTTTAATTATTTTCCTGATTTTATACTTAGTTTACGTGATCCACATATTTTAGATGCATTAACTTTAAATATTCAATTAAATGGTTCATTCACTAATATGAAAGAAAAAGTTCACAATATTGCTTTAATTTATCGTGTTCACTATAAATGCATAAAAATCAATTTAAATGTTTAAGCTTTGCATAAGAGTCCCAAAGATAAAACTCTGTTAATTCAAGGTAGTAATGTTGATTCACATATTAATGTTCCTCAAATGATTGAATGGAAAGATATCAATCTCCCTGATCAATGGATAACTGTTAATGAAAATTACAAACATAATCAACAACAATCTTCAATTCAAGATATCCAAGATATTCAACAACATAATGATGGTTCAATTCGTATTAAGTTTAATCGTAGTCAATCTTCTAGACATAGTACATCTAGTGTCCCTACTGAAATTGAAATTGAAGATGAAATATTTAATACACCTTTATTTCAAAAAAATAGTCAATTACATCTTGGTCTTACTTGTCAAACTTCTGGTCCAATCTCTCAAAATAAACTCAAAGGAATTGATAACTCTACAACTTCTCAGATTAGTAAACCTATTTATTCCTATCCAGTACATTTACCGGACGATGATGATGAATCCCAAGAATTACCTACTCAAACTGATTTCGAAGTTACACCTCAAATCAATCCTCAATTAATGACAATTAAAAACGATTTTACTCCTGATCTCGATAAATTACTTATTAATTTTAGATCAAAGGAAAATAGAACTCAAAGACATGCTTATTGTGCTAAATATGATTCTGTTCAACAAAAAAGAAAAACTAGAAAATTGTATGATCTTATGATTGAATATGGTATGAAAATGCCTTTCTTTGAATACATGGACAAATATTACAAAAAGATTAATACAATCACCAAACATAAATGGAAAACTTCTCCAAATACTTCTGTTAGTTCTAGTCATCCTCCATTAGAAAATATAATTCTTAGTCATCAAGGTTCCGATGTCCCAGCCTCTCCTTTTAAATTACCTAGTAATGATACTGAAATTAAAAAAGTTATTGAACAAAATAATTATACTAATCAATGTTTAAAAACAATTGGAACGCAATTAGATAAAATTGAAACTCATTTAGATTCAACTATTGTTACATCTGCAACAAAAACATTAGATCAACCTTTGCTTAATCTCCCTAGTAATCGATCCAAAAGAACTAGTTTAGTTACCAATGATCATTCAACTGTTAAAGCCATAGAACAATTACTTACCAAATTAAAATACAAAAAGTAACTTACAATTACAATCATTGCAGTTGCAAGAATCTTAATTAGGTTACAGACAGAAGGGTTGATTTTCACTCAGAGCTCCCAGATTTTTTAAGAAATGAAGAATATCCGAATGAATACATTTGATTACAATATATAGAAAAGAAAATTAACTATGCAACATGTGATTTGGTTGATTGATCGAAGGCAGCTGGCAGCATTGGAGACTGAGTAGAGCTGCCGGTTGCTTTCGGTTGATTGGTTGAACAATTGAGCAGCTTTAACAAAAGTTGATTGAGTGAATAGTAAAAGTGAACAGTAACTTTTACTATTCATCACTTTCGGTGGAACATGTGATTAAATGAATCAATATAAATACAAATTGACAGCTTTTCTCAAAAGAGTATTGATTGAAGCTAATTTGTATCTATATGGATTAAGTTTACAGGATAGTCCTGTTGAATCAATTTGTGTGTCATTTTGATTTCGTAATCCATTTTCTTCCTTCTGCTTGTTGCTTCCACATTTATAATATATATATTTGTCATTTTATTTCATAAAAAAAATTGAAAATTTATTGAGAATTCAAGATTTTACAATAACATTAGATTTTTGTATAACTAGGTAAATTTAAAACTTTTAAATATCATTGTGTTTTTTATTTTTATCATCTTTCTATCCCATTAGACCATTATTGCTTTTTGTTAGTTTGTTAATTGTAATTCAATTAATTGAAAATGAAAGCTTAATGTAACTTTTCATATATATTATAGTTAATTTGTTATTACTATAGTTGTATATAATAGCATAATATATAAGGATAATCTCTAAATATAATTTATGTTTTTTTATGTAATTAAAATAGTCCATCTTAATTATATATAGAAAAGTTAGATGGTTTCTTTATCTCTAAAAAACCCAATCTATTTTTTTTTTTTTTTTTTACTTTTTAATTTTTTAAATTGAAATAGTCCATCTTAAAAGTATATAGAAGAGTTAGATGATTTATTTTATCTCTAAAAAACCCAATATATATATTTTTTTACTTTTAAATTTTTTAAATTGAAACATCAATTGTTTATGTCTATAAAACAAAATTGATAAACACATATAAAAAATCTACACATTTTTTTTTTTCATTTTTTAATATGTAGGATATTTACAAATGGAAAATATTTGACACCCCAATTTTTTTTTCTATAATCCAACTTAGTGATGTAGGTATAAGTGTCAATTTTTATATAAATATGAGAAGAGAATTAATTAAATTATACATTTCAACCAACTATATACTCAAATATTGACTATTTGAAGATGTTATTTCATTATAATTCTAATTAAGAGAATTTTCAACCCTTAATATATTTTTTTGTCAAATTATAATTTGATAAAAATTTAAAAAAATAAAACATTGAAAATTGTTTTTTCCATCAAAATTGGTGAAAAGAAAAAAAATTAGGATAATAATGAAAGTTCTTTTAAAATTTGATAAAAAAAATCAATGAAAAAGTTAAATTAATTCATATCAAATCAAATCAAAATTTTTATTCAAATTTAAAACCAAACTAGATTAAAAAAAATTTTAAAAAAAATGATGAAAGTTTGAAAATATTTTGAAACTTCTATTCATAAAGAATAGAAATCCGTGTGTGTATTATATTCGTATTGCATTTTTAATTATGAAATTGAAATTTTTAAAAAAAAATGTAACTTAAATTATTGAATTAATAATAGAAATATCATATTAATTATTGTTAAATATCACATCGCTTTATATTTAATAATAAAATTATATATTTGTTTTAATTATAACTTTTAAATTTGTATATTTTCATAACAAGAAAAGGTATGTAATAACTCAGTTAATCTCATTTAATCAGGTTTAACTTTTTTTATATACAAATTATCAAAATTGCACTAAATATATTTATATATATATTTTTTAATTTTTTTAAACTAATAATTTAAAAAGTTATAAACATAAAAATTAACTTATAAATTTCATGTATACCACAATATAAAATATTAAATTATTTCAAGATAATTATAATGATTTTTTTTTTAATTTATAAAGACCCGGCCAAAAATTTTACTTTTCACATCTCTCAAGTGTAGAAGGATTAAAAATAAAAAATAAAAAAAAAAGGAGTCATATATATATTGAAAAAATCAAAAAAAAAAAAAAAAAAACACATATTTCAAAAATTTTTTTAAAAAAAAAAAAAAAAAAAAAAGAGTGGGTGACGGGAGGTGATTGCCTGCCACCAGAGATCATGGCGCCACCGGAGGAGGCCACCCGTGACAATGGTTGGAGGAGGTTGTCTACGATGGTGGCCAGATATGGTGAGGCTAGAACATAGGTGCTTGTCATGAATAATTCAAAAATTGAGTACAATATCATTGACCATGTAATAAGCTTCACATTCAGGAAGTTTCGCAGAAAGCACACCAAAACATACAAAGAAGAAGAAAAGAAAAAGCTATGGCTACACGAGGAAGGTGATGCCCTGAATTTACATGTTTGATTGTTTGTCACAGAGTTTGAACATAAAGAAACAATGCAGATATCAACTTTAAGCAACGTACCAGGTATTGATAACTGATCCAATTTGACCCAATGTGAGCTGATCCTCGGACTAGTTGCACTGCAGTCAGCTAAACCAAGCATAACAGCCTTGGATAATCGGAGGTATAGCATAGCTCACACTGAGAGATGTATTTCAGCCCAACAAATTGCTAAGTATAATAGGACATATCGAGCCATTCATGAATTTAAATTTCTTTTTGTGCTCCAACATGTCAGCAACACTGACTATTCTTCTTACTTCTGAGGCATTCTAACCTAAAAGTTCAACCATGTCGATGAATGCTGTGACTAAATTTCCTTTCTAATCCTTAGAGTGATCTAAGAGCTCAAAGGGAGCTAAAGATTGCTCGGGTTAGAACTTGTACGGTGTTGCCCTTGGTTGGGTCTTGCAAGATCCAGGCCTCGCAATTGTGACCAAAACAAACCTGCCATCAAAAAACTAAAAAGAGAACCATTTTCTAAGTCCAGAAAGTCATCTTTTAGGACAAATTGCTGGTATCTATCGAAATATAATTGGCGACGCTTCACACCTTTCCATTCATCTCTTTGACAGCCATTTGAGCAGATTCCATGCTGGTAAACCATATGTATGCAAATCCCAAAGGCTGCTTACTTTTTTTATCAGTTACAATCTTAACTGCACGATACCAAATAACAATTTACATAAAAGTAACCAAGTTTATGAGTTCATTCTTGCAGTTTCTTCAAACACAACTCAACTAGAAAGCATACAAGAGCAAAAATTCACCTCGGCTGACTTCCCCAAACTGCGAAAATGCTGTATTTAATGTCCCCTCGGATGTCGATTGTGGCAGTCCTGCATGAATTAATTCATAATCCTCAAAACGATACCTATTTAATTATTTTATTTTAATTTATGTTCCATGACATAAATCAGGTTTTCAACACAACCTTTGTTCTCCAATCTTCTCACCTACACTCCTAAATATGTTTAAATATGATCCAACCATTACAATAATTCCAAACTTCACATAGCCATGTAATATCAATCTAAAAATTCATTCCACAATGTCAAAATCTCCACATTCAGGATATTGTTTTCAATGCAAAAAATTTGTGAGACAATTGTCTTGTGTATAATCAAGAATTGAAATGAGATGAAATTAACACTGGCAATAATGCATGAGAAGCACAACAATAATTTGTAAGCAAACAGTGATAGAATTGCATACCCTTTACGAATATTATCGTGAAAGGAGATTTATTGGACTCCATTGAAGAGCTCGACCTCGACCTCGAGCTCGTGCAACAATGGAACCTCTGAAGAGATGGGTTAGGGTTTGAGAAATTGGGTGATGCAGAAATGGATATTTTTGAAATCCTAGAGATGTTTATTGTTGAAATTAGGTTTTCTGATACAAAGGGTTTTGAAATTGCAGAATTTTTGTGGCATTGAACAGGAGAGATTGGGGATGTAGATGGTGACCAAAACAGAGCCATTAAGAAACCCTAGCTCCAGATGCACTTATCAGAGTAGGGTGTTCTTACTACAGTACCAAAAGTTTCAATTTTGAAAGAACATAAGAATATGAAATTACCAGAATGCCCTTGATGTTGGGTGTTGTCATGGTTGCGGGCCTTCAGAACCAAAGGTCCACAAGAGAATGTAGGGAATTGCAATGGTAGACCTATGGGTTGGGTCCTATTGGTTCAGTTGTGGATCAGACAAGCCCATTTTGCTTCACAATATTCACTTATTGGGCCTCTATTGATAATGATTTTTAATAAAGAGTAATATTAAGGATCTCAAATATTTTATCAAATATTCTACTATGGCCAAGTTTGGCATCTTTCTAAAAAGCCAAAAAGTTAAAAAGTTATTTAAAAAGTTCAAAAGTTATCACTATTTATCAAAAAAATATATTAAAAAAATAATTTTCCACATATCTATACAACTCAGCAATCATGACAAAACTGGCACTGTGCAGCGTTTGTTAAGAACAATTGCACAGTTTGTGTGTAATTTTCACACACTACTGTTCGGCCCGTGGGGGACCATCACGAGTCTCTTTTTGATAATCTGAACCGTTCAATATGTAAAACTTGTCGAATACTATACGTCTGTAAAAAATCACATTGATGGGATATCGATAACTACATAATCAAATCAGTTTTGTATAAAAAAATGAATGGTATTATAATTAACGATTGAAAAAAAACAAATCTGATTAGATAGCTATTGATATCCGATCAAAGTGATTTTTTATAAATGTATAGTACTCGACGAGTTCTACACATTGAACGGTTCAGATTATCAAAATAGGACCCGTGACTGCCCCCACGGGTCGAACAAAACCATCCAGTGCAATGCCCAAAAAATAGCCAATCATTTCTTAGCCTCAATTGAATTGCCTAGAAAATACGACTGCACAACTCTCAATCCTAATCTTCCTCTACACACTAATTTATACAATTTTTTAATACACATTTTTTTATAAAAAGTCAAAAAGTTAACCCAAACATCTATATTTTTTTTTCTCAACTTTTTAGTCTAAAAAGACAAAAAGTACATTTATTTAAGACACTTCAAACAACCCCTAAATATCTCACATGGTGTTGTGGGTCCCACACTCATGTGAGACATTTAGTAGAATATTTGGTAAAATATTTGAGATCCCTAACATTTTTCTTTAATGAACCAAATTAAAAGTTAATCGGAAACTTATTGATAGGTATCATACATAAAGTTCAAAACCCATCTAATTTCAAAGCAAAATAGTTATACCTATTAGTCCTATATATTTTTAATTATTATTGTACGGGAAAGAAATAATTCTCCTCGTATAATCCTATTGACTAAGTCCACGCTCCTCCGTACGACGTCGCTTTGTCACCTGAAAACACAAACGTGAGCTAGCCGGCGGGTGTGTGCCGGAAACCTCTCCGATGCCTAAGTCAGAAAACTTGACAAATAGACAAAGCTCAATGTATTCAGGAAGCAAAATAGTATGTTGTGTTATGTTACCTCCTCCAAGGTGATGCTTGTGAGCTTTTATAGGTTTCGAGTGGCACAATCCTAGTAGGACTTTTATTTCTCCATGCAGAGTCCTCCTAGGATTCATACTCCTAAAGGATAATGCTTATCCTCTTATACCCCCCACTGCTTAAACCAAGTGGGATGGTTTTTACTATGGCCGAACTACCACATGACTGAAATAATACTGGCTATGCCGAGCCACGGAGTAGGCCGAACTATCCTTAGCTCGGTTTTCTCCATCCACTCCTTATCTCGGTTCTCTCTTGTTCAACCATGGTGTGTTGGGATCGAGCTGCCGAGTAGTATGGTCTTGACCGATCTATCCAGAATACGACATGACCGGACTAACTCGGAGACCGGACTAACTCCAAGTTGTCCAAACCGAAGTCGTTTTACAATTCCTGGGCCAAAGTAACTTCATTCCTCTTGACCGAAGTAACTTTATCTCATGGGCCGGAGTAACTTTACCTTTCTTTTTACACAGTCCTTCGTATTTTAGGCCACAAAGTCCATCTCACAGCTCGGCCCAATTTTCACCAAAAATTACCCTCTCAATTGCCCCTTAATTCCATCTGCACAGCATGATTGGGATTACCAGTCTCCTAGCCGAGCTGGATTTTTTAAGTTTTTCCAGCCGAGCTAAAAAACCCTTTAGCCTCTCCAGCCGAGCTAAAAACTCCTAAGCCTTTTAAGCCGAGCTAATTTTACTCCGGGCTCTGTTTTGTCCGGTCAAAACGTCTCTTCAATCATGACTGTAACGTTTCCCTTTCCAAAGACACGTGGCGGGATCTGATAGGTTGGGGGAGCTGTCATGCCGCCCTCGTACTACGAAATTTTTGAACAGTCCCGCCTTTTTGCCTTTCATCCTTTACACAAAACAACCCTTTCATTTTTGAATCATTTACGTTATTCCTTATTTTTTCTCTCCCTTGTTCCTGAGCCCTGAGTTTGAGCTTGCTGTGTTCGTGCCCTTTATTGCTGCCATTGCTTCCATCTTCTAGCTTCTTCCTTTTTACTCTGGTAAGCAAATCTCACCTTCATGCTTTGTTTGTTTTCGTATTTTGCTTTCCATTTTTTTGCGAAACATATTAGTCTATTTTCTGCTTTGCTTCTGTATTTTACTGGAAAAACTTTACTGAACTCGTGCGTGTATGTAATATCCTGTAGAAGACTAGTCTTTGATCCAAAAACTTGTCCCAACCGAACTAGGATACTGTTTTGTGCTATATAGGTAGATCAATACAGAAAACAACCGAACTAGAACTTGTAGAAATAACAGCAGCTTCAAAAAATAACCGACTTCCGATTCACCTTAGCCGAAATAAGATCACCGAACGAAGTTTGAAGACATTAAACTAGGAACCTTGGTCTTCAACCGAGCTAAGCCTTTGGGGCTAAGCCAGCTTTCTTAGCTTCTAAGCCAAACTCAGAAAGCTGCCCCTAGAGGCTCAATCGAAGTAATAAAACTCATAGTTCAACCGATTTAGGCCTTTGGGGCTAAGCCAGCTTTCTTAGTTTTTTAGACCGAACTCAGAAAGCTGCCCCTAGACGACGAACCGGTCTAACAAAGTCGTTTCCAAAGCAAGTATGCTGAGATGCTTGCCATGGTTTGGCTAATAAAAACCCTGCTCAAACCGAGCTACCAGGAATTTTTGCCCAACCAAGATAGAACCTGTCCACAAAACCGAAGTAGGGCTCTTCTACCTTGCTTTTAATTTGTAGCACGGTCCTATGATCTGTGCTTAACCCCTTTGTTTTCTACTTTGCAGACTTAGGTTGCCCAGGCACTTCTTCTTGCGCTCAACCGTGCTGCTGAGCACAATTTTTGCACCGATATAATTTATTCATAAATTATACAACAAATGGGTAAGTATAGGTTTTTGGTAGAAACCCCTGGTGGCATGGCCGAATTCCGAAGGGATTATGGTATTCCAGGCGATGTACACCTTACCCTAGCCAAGCGGGATGTCATACCATGGGGCGAAGCAGGCTTTGTACCTTTTACCCTGCTTTCAATAATAGAGACCGGACTAAGGTTTCCAGTCCAACCTTTGATTTGTGAGTTTCTTAGGCAAACCAGACTATGCCCAACCCAGCTATCCACCAATACATACCGGATAATAATGGGTATAGCCGAACTAAACCGCCAAGCAGGCCTGAACCTCGGTCTAGCCAAAATCTTCCACCAGTACTCCATAGGTTCCAAAGACGATGGTTGGGTTTATTACCTTAGGATACGCCGTCGTAGAGAAAAGATAATAAAAGATACGCCGGATAAGGATGTAAATGATGATGACTTTTTCTGGGTATCGGGAAATTTTGAAGATCAGCAAGCCCAAATCCCAGGCCGAAGTATAAACTGGAAGAAAGGAGAACCTGGTATAGTTACTTCGGTTTTATGCATGTTTTTCTTTTACTTTGGTTTCAGATGTCATAACCGATCTAACAGTTGCATCCTTTTTGCAGACTCAGCTCATCTTGCTTCCCTGTATAGTTACCCAAATCTGAACACACTCCGAGCCGCATTACGTTTTAAAGAAAGGAGTTGGGCTAAGCTTCTAAACTTTGAGCCGACTTATAGATATAGCGGTCGCCGAAAAGCCAGAGTGATCGATTTCCTTCTTGAAGACGCACCAGAACCGGACCCAACCTTGCCCGAAATCAGACTTGTCCCGCTAACCGCTGAAGAAGAGATGGCAAAGAAAAGCAGAGTCAGGGCCCTTATGACCGAAACAACCAGGGCCGAAGTACCACCATCAATTCAAACCCAAGAAGTGGTGGTGGCCCTTCCTACACAACAAATGTCCTCATCCCGCCGAACCAAGCGCGCCCGGACTGCCGAAACCGAACAAAACTTGGTTGATGAAGACGAAGCTGCTCTTCCACCGAGCCTGCCACCGAGCCCCCAACCCGAGCCTACTAACCGAACTACCACCATCTGGGCACCGAAGCTAACCTTCAATGATCGAGATATCCAAGATTCTGATTCGGTTGTTGCTGACAAAGATCATCAATTGGCCTTCAACCTAGCCAAGAGTGTGTGCCTCCCCAAAGATATGGAGCACCACCAAAAGTAACTAAACACCGAATTGAAGTCCATCCGGTCTTCATCAAAGTCCATGATTTTGGTAAGTAGCTCTGTCCGTTTTTCTGTCTAATTTTTCAAACTTTCACTTCGGCTCAAGGGAAGTCTTCGTTTTGTCAGGCCTTACAGAAAAACAACATTACTTACAAGAAAGTCCTAGAGCTTAGGAAGACAACAAGGCAAGCCATGGCGGAAGCCGAAGCGAAGGTGGCCGAGCTAGAAGAAGCCAGAAAACAAATGGCCGAGCTACAAGATGAGATCGGCAGACTGACCGGACTGGTTAGTTCGGCCGAGGCCGAGAAGCAGAAGGCTACCATTGCTCTGAAGGACAAGTACCTGCGCGAGCTGGTAAAGCTTAAAAGAAGAAAGATGCCGAAATATCCCAGGCGAAGGAGAGCTCAAAAGAGGCCGAAAAGAAAGGTTTTAAGAAG